AAAAAGAGGGGGGGGAAAAAGGGGGGAAAAGGGAAAAAGGGAAAGGGGAAAGGGGGAAAAGGAAATGAAAGGGGGAAAAAGGGGGAAAAGGGGGAAAAAAGGGGAAAAAAAAGGGGAAAAAGGAAAAAAAGGAAAAAGGGAAGGGAAAGAATTTAAAAAAAGGGAAAAAAAAGGGCGGGGAAGGGGGGAAAAAAAGGGGGAAAAAAAAATTTTTTAAAAAATTAATATTTTTTTTTTTCTCCTTTAAAAAAAATTACCCCCTTTTTTTCTTCGTTATTATTAGACCTAATTTCTCTCTGGGGAATGTATATACTCTGGGCACGGTGTACATTATTAAGAAAAAATCATAAATGCAGATCCCTTCATAATCATAAGTTTGATCATCGTCAATAAAATCATTAGATAGATAACCCCAATCGAGATTTGACAGGTGTTCCTTAAGTCCGTTGTAATCGGCAGAACGAAAATCTGGGATTTTTACCGTATTATCATTATTCTTGTATTACCAGTTAATGCTGAAAGTGATGGATTTGTGATCACTTGCGCCAAGCTCTTCAGTGATCTCCAGATTATTCACGAGTGTTTTCTTATTTGACAAGACTAGGTCTAGCAAATTATTACCCCTGGTAGGCTCTGTTACGCTCTGCTTCAGAAAACAGTCCTGAACTGTTTCCATAAAGTCACTGGTCTCTAGATTACCTGTCAAAGAATTCCAGTCAATTTGACTAAAGTTAAAGTCCCCTACTATCACTATGTTATTGTGTCTAGAACCCTAACAATTTCGTCCCAAAGAAGTCTCCCTCTATCGTGATCCAAGCCTGGAGGTCGGTATATTACACCTAGAATTAGTTTTTCTTGACCCTCCACAAACTCTACCCAAAGAGATTCTGTTACTGTTCCATCTATTTTTATACCTGTTTTTATGCAACAATTAATATTTTCTCGAACATATAATGCAACTCCTCCCCCTTCCCATTACATCTATCCACATGGAACCACTTAAACCCTTGAATATTACACTCAGCAATCATGTCCCGACTCTTTAAATCATACCAAGTTTCAGTTAATGCAATGACATCAAAGTTCCCAGCACATGCTACCAAACGTAGTTCATTAATCTTATTTCTTGCACTTCGACTGTTAGCATAAAATACCATCATATGTTTTTCTTCTGCACATTTTTCCTATTCATCTTTGTTTTTACACAATTTCTGAAATTATCATTACCCAGAGTTACTCCATGACAGTAACTATTAAGATTCTTAATATCAGAGCATAAGTTAATATATCCATACTCATTATTTATCATTTCTAAACCCATACCTCTAACTAATCCTAGTTTAAAGTCATAACAACCCCATCAACTGAGTTAGCAAGAAAACCCACACCTGCCTGGATAAGTGAACCCCATCCCTGGCATACATGTCATTTCGGCCATAGAAGTTTATCCAGCCAACAATTAATACCAATTGCTCTGGACAACATTCATTTCCAACACCCCTTCTTGGCAAAATGCCACATATAACAGGGCGCCCCCCTTCTTCTAATTATGGTCTATTGCTGTCCTGAACCTTTTAACTAAATCCTCACTTCTACACTTGCCTACATCATTGGCCTCCGCACTGAGGCAGATATAGGATTGATCCCATTACGTTCATGATGTTGTCAAGCATGCTAACAATATCTCCATCCCAGCCCCAGGAAAACAAACCCCTGACTCTACTTCTGTCCTTCAAGCAGAACGCCTATCCATGTATCTAACCTGGCTATCCCCAAGAACAATATTCTTACCTTTCTCGGTTTCGCTCGTCGTGACGTTTCCAGTAGTAGACTCACATTCCCCGGGTAGCACAGAGAATGAATTAGATGTTTCCACAGCAGTCTCTTTCTTCTTCATCGTTTCTACCTTTCCATTCGTCTTCTTGATCGTCAACTTCGTCCCCTGCTGTCCAGCCACTGACCACGTTCCCTTCTTGACCTGAGGACTCAAAACAGGAGGACTACTACGAATCCTCTTGTTTTCCTCAGTCAATCGCCGTATATCCATCCTCGCTACTCTCAATTCTTCCTTAAGCTGCTGGTAAAGTTGCTCGATGGAGGGCATCTTGGTTCAGTCCACGGAGAGCACACAAGACACTTCTTCACAGAGTTAAGTACAGGTCACCACTGAGTTAAGTACAGGTCACCACTTTAAATCGGTTTCAATCAGTGCATCTGTATCTCCCAATCTCTCTCTCTCTCTATCTCCTTCCACCAGTCTTTCAAGCTGTCTTTACCAGTGTCTCTATCAAGTGGTATACATCTCTCTCTCTGTCTATCCCAGTCTCTCTTAGTCTCCATATCTCTTTCCAAACTAAAAGGAAAAAACTCAGCAAATCTTCATTACGTTTCCATATTCTGTATCACCAAATACATTTCTCTGGGCGAACAGACTGGAGCAGTAATTGGAGAGGCTGAGGCATCTTTCTTGAAATAGGAATTAGCCTTTAATTCTTATTCTGAGAAAGTGGGAGCAAGAACAAAGACGATGGAAGGAACGTTAGAATAGGTAAAAATAAGAATAAAGAGGGGAAGAAATAAGATCGTGACATACATTTAAAGGGTTGGTGCTTAAAGATGTTCAATCGATCGCCTTTTTTTTTTTTTTTTTTTTGCTGGTGGTTAGCGAAGGGAAATCAAAGACTTTTATCGAAGTCTGAGGAAAGAGAAATGGAACCCCTGTAGTCTGGACACACAGTTGAAGCCACAAGCGTGTGAGGGACAAGTTATGAATGTGATGACGCTGTGAAGGTAACTGATCCACACAACAACAACAGACTGCTGTATCTAGGCAGCAACATGATTCTGCCGCAGCGGACAACAGCAAGTGTGTGCAGACACACACAATCTGAAGCCTCCGTAATATGAAGTGGGAAGGTATCGGATGCTGTATTGGAAAACACTACTGAATTGCAGCCGGGTCCTACTATGCAAATTTTCTTTAGCTAAAAACTGTCGGTGACGCTGACAGCAGTAAGTTGGGAGGTGTTTAATGAGTTCTGTTCTAAACTGATTCTCGTCTCTTTGTGGTATTGCATTAATTGGCGTTATTGTATGCTTTCATTACGGGTTTTAGGACTTGCTTGCCATGGGTTCGAGTCGCACTAGGTTTTGGGATTTATAACTGCATAAATTCTGTTAACAGATGACTTTCTAGTCTAACTTAAGCTAACTAAACCGATCTTAACCTTACTGAACCTAACTTAGCCTTAGTAAATGTGACAAAATTACCTTAAAATTGCCTTTAAATTATCTTATAAACTATCTTAAACTGCTGAATGCTGAATGGAGAAATCTGGTTCACAACATGGTCTATGGAAGCCAAAATTTCAACACGATTTGGTCATGACACGTCTAATAGCGGGCCTCGCCACTTGTGTTGGTGTCTCGTACTGCTGCACTTCTACTCTAATATATAATCATAACCATAATTTTTAAAGGGGAAGACGAGTAAGCCAGTGGAAGGCCTCGGTTAGATGACCAAATGCTCCAGCGGCGGGTCATTATATAACTAAGACCCGCGTCAGGAAACGCTTGTCCTGTTTCCTGACAAACCTTACCTAACCTAACCTAATCCTCTAGTGTGCAAGTCTTCTCTCTCATACACATGATTAAGTTCCATCAGTTTTCGAAGGGACTGAGAACTTTCTATCATGGCTGAGGGACTGATTGTCTCATCTGCTACTGTCTCCAATATCTCTGTATTGGACTGAAACAGCCACTGGTTGGTGAATCGTCTTCGTGAAGACGCACAGGCGTGTAGCATGTACTTTCTTCACCATCTTAGAGAAGATCAACACTGTATACAACGTTTCGCTCGTGGGCGAGCTGTTCTTCAGTCAAATGTAAGCGACCTCAGCATTAAAAATAATATGATATAATAATAATAATAATAATAATAATAATAATAATAATAATAATAATAATAATAATAATAATAGTAAATAAAATTTACTATTTTGGCTTAAATAGCAACAATCTTCTTGCCGAAAAAGGTAAGCGAAAATTTGTATATGCAACAATTTCGCAAAAATCAATCTAAACCTAACGAAAGAAAATATATTTCATTGTGTCTGTTTATTATCAAATTATTGTAAACTTATCTAAAATATATTTAGCTGGATTAGGCTAAATTATATTGCGCTTGTTATAACAAGGTTAGGTAAATTTTCTAAGGTTCTTTTGGTGCAAAATTAAAAAAAATTACATTAACTTTAATGAAAAAAATATATCTTTAAACGTATAAGAGAAAATTTTAGAAAGGACTTAATTTTAAATGAGTTCTTGCTAATTGACCAGTTTTACATATTCGGCACGACATATATATATATATATATATATATATATATATATATATATATATATATATATATATATATATATATATAAGAAAAGCAGTGCTGTCAGAGTACAAAATATTTAACAGGATTCTAAGTTTAAAACTCAAGTTTTAATTTTTCCCTAAAAAACGAGTTGGAGAGAAAAAAAACGTATCACAGGAATTTGTCACATAATCCTGTTCCCCATCACGTGACGAAGCTGACGACAGCGTCAGCCAAGATTATCAGTGCTGATATGATTGCCAGAGATAAGCAAGGGGGGGGGGGAGGAGGATAAGATAAAAACCATTTATCGCAAAGACTAACACAGTTTTATGTTGGTTTTGTTGCCTGTGGAGCTGAGGCAGTTACAGTGGTGTCCTAACTGCCTGGTAGTTCGTGGAACTGAGGTAGTTACAGTGGTGTCCTAACTGCCTGGTAGTTCGTGGAACTGAGGTAGTTACAGTGGTGTCCTAACTGCCTGTTAGTTCGTGGAACTGAGGTAGTTACAGTGTGTTGTCCTAACTGCTGGTAGTTCGTGGAATGAGGTAGTTACAGTGGTGTCCTAACTAGCTGGTTGTTCGTGGAACTGAGGTAGTTACAGTGTGTGTCCTAACTGCCTGGTAGTTCGTGGAAACTGAGGAGTAGTTACAGTGGTGTCCTAACTGCCTGGTAGTTCGTGGAACTGAGGTAGTTACAGTGGTGTCCTAACTGCCTGGTAGTTCGTGGAACTGAGGTAGTTACAGTGGTGTCCTAACTGCCTGGTAGTTCGTGGAACTGAGGTAGTTACAGTGGTGTCCTAACTGCCTGGTAGTTCGTGGAACTGAGGCAGTTACAGTGGTGTCCTAACTGCCTGGTAGTTCGTGGAACTGAGGTAGTTACAGTGGTGTCCTAACTGCCTGGTAGTTCGTGGAACTGAGGCAGTTACAGTGGCGTCTTAAAAGACTGTATTTCGTGGAACTGAGGTATTTCCAATGGTGTCTTAAATGACTTGTAAATTTCTGGTTTACTGGTCTTTTTAAACCGGGTTGGGAGTGCATTTTCACGGTGAGTTTATAAAGTTTTATTTGATAAAAGAATGGGCTTGAAAATTTAACAAGGTGTGGAGGTGGTTTAAGGTGTGGAGGTGGTTTAAGGTGTGGAGGTGGTTTAACAAGGTGTGGAGGTGGTTTAAGGTGTGGAGGTGGTTTAAGGTGTGGAGATGGTTTAACAAGGTGTGGAGGTGGTTTAGGGTGTAGAGGTGATTTAACAAGGTGTGGAGGTGGTTTAACAAGGTGTGGAGGTGGTTTAAGGTGTAGAGGTGATTTAACAAGGTGTGGAGGTGGTTTAAGGTGTGGAGGTGGTTTAAGGTGTAGAGGTGCTTTAACAAGGTGTGGAGGTGGTTTAAGGTGTGGAGGTGGTTTAAGGTGTGGAGGTGGTTTAACAAGATGTGGAGGTGGTTTAAGGTGTAGAGGTGATTTAACAAGGTGTGGAGGTGGTTTAAAAGGTGTGGAGGTGGTTTAAGGTGTGGAGGTGGTTTAAAAAGGTGTGTAGGTGGTTTAACAAGGTGTGGAGGTGGTTTAACAAGGTGTGGAGGTGGTTTAACAAGGTGTGGAGGTGGTTTAACAAGGTCTGGAGGTGGTTTAACAAGGTGTGGAGGTGGTTTAACAAGGTGTGGAGGTGGTTTAAGGTGTGGAGGTGGTTTAAGGTGTGGAGGTGATTTAAGGTGTGGAGGTGTTTTAAGGTGTGGAGGTGATTTAAGGTGTGGAGGTGATTTCACAAGGTGTGGAGGTGGTTTAACAAGGTCTGGAGGTGGTTTAAGGTGTGTAGGTGGTTTAACAAGGTGAGGAGGTGGTTTAAGGTGTGTAGGTGGTTTAAGGTGTAGAGGTGATTTAACAAGGTGTGGAGGTGGTTTAACAAGGTGTGGAGGTGGTTTAACAAGGTGTGGAGGTAGTTTAAGGTGTAGAGGTGATTTAACAAGGTGTGGAGGTGGTTTAACAAGGTGTGGAGGTGGTTTAACAAGGTCTGGAGGTGGTTTAACAAGGTCTGGAGGTGGTTTAACAAGGTGTGGAGGTGGTTTAAGGTGTGGAGGTGGATTAACAAGGTGTGGAGGTGGTTTAAGGTGTGGAAGTGGTTTAACAAGGTGTGGAGGTGGTTTAACAAGGGGTGGAGGTGGTTTAACAAGGTGTGGTGGTGGTTTAACATGGTGCAGAAGTATAACATAGCTTGGAGGTTTAACATAGCTTGGAGGTTTAACATAGCTTGGAGGTTTAACATAGCTAGGAGGTTTAACATAGCTAGGAGGTTTAACATGGTTCGTTTCTCTACTAAACATATTTAGTTAAATTTATATTTTTCCTGTTAGATGTCATATTAACAGTAATGTGGTTTAAGCCATTGTTAGTTTCTTTGTTAACTCCATGTTAACTTACTGGAGGTATCTAGAACTACTGTTTTAAGTCATTTTAACCTATGTATGTAACTACTAGAATTATTAATAGTAGTTTTAATATATTATTATTATTGTTAATATTTCTACTGCTAAAATATATGCATTTTGGGGAATAAATGTTAATGTTAACCTAGAAACTAACATCATGTTTCCTAACTTCTTAAGTTTGTAGTTCATAAATCGTGTACGCAGTCTCTTTCTCTTTACTCTCTCTCTCTCTCACTCTCTCACTCTCTCTCTCCCTCTCTCTCTCTCTCTCTCACTCTAATTCACTAAGTCTGTTTGACCAGTTTGATACATATTATAGTGCAGACAGGAACAGTTAATTTGATCGTGTTTGATCAGTGGGCGTTACCTCGGAGACAGGGAGAAAAGGTAGGAGGGAGGGATGGAGGGAAGGTGGGAGGGAAGGTGGAAGGTGGGAGGGAAGAAGACAGGATAAGGCAGACTGACAGGCCAGCAGATTATATGTAAGCTGGTAAGCAGGTAGGTAGAGAGGCAAAGCAGCAGACAGGCAAGGCAGCAGACAGGCAAGGCAGCAGACAGGCAAAACAGCAGACATGCAAAGCAGCAGACAGGCAAGGCAGCAGACAGGCAAAGCAGCAGACAGGCAAAGCAGCAGACAGGCAAAGCAGCAGACAGGCAAAGCAGCAGACAGGCAAAGCAGCAGACAGGCAAAGGAGCAGACAGGCAAAGCAGCAGACAGGCAAGGCAGCAGACAGGCAAGGCAGCAGACAGGCAAGGCAGCAGACAGGCAAGGCAGCAGACAGGCAAGGCAGCACACAGCAAGGCAGCAGGCAGGCAGAATTTCAAATATCGGGCGTTTTCCTTTAGCGTCAAAATAGCTGGAATGAGAGAGAGAGAGAGAGAGAGAGAGAGAGAGAGAGAGAGAGAGAGAGAGAGAGAGAGAGAGAGAGAGAGAGAGAGAGAGAGAGAGAGAGAGAGAGAGAGAGAGGCTTTCAAATGAGCTGACGTTACCTAACTTTATCTGCAAGCTCTTAGCTTGTAAATAAAGTTAGGAACCCTTAACCTAACTTTGTAGAACCCTGTGTACAAAAAAGAGAGAGAGAGAGAGAGAAGAGAGAGAAAGAGAGAGAAGTGAGAGAGGAGAGAGAGAGAAGTGAGAGAGGAGAGAGGAGAGAGAGAGAAGAGAGAGAGAGGAGAGAGAGAGAAGAGAAGAGAGAGAGAGAGAAGAGAGGGATGACTCGAGTATGGAACACATTCGTACAGCATAATGATATCAACGAGATAAAGTCAGTTGATCAAATGAAAATGCTGGCCCACAGATGGCTCCAACTTCATCCTGTTCCCTACTTGTATGTCTCATAACAATAAAAATGCTTTCAAATGAGCTGATGTAGGTAACAGCTCTTAGCTTGCCAATAAAGTTAGGAATCCTTAACCTGTAATATAGCTGTCAATAAAGCTAGGGATCCTTAACCTTGTCAAACCCTGTGTAAAAAAAAAAAAAAAAAAAAAAGAGAGAAAGAAGAGAGAGAAGAGAGAGAGAGAGAGAGAGAGAGAGAGAGAGGAGAGAGAGAGAGAGAGAGAGAGAGAGAGAGAGAGAGAGAGAGAGAGAGAAGGTGGTAAAGATCACATTTTCAGCGTCTTGTCTGCTCCTCTTACCAATTATATCCAGGCTTCCTGTAGCCTCTGCTCCGTTGTTTCTGTGTCCTGGCGGCAGACTCCTCAGTGACTTAAAGTCGTTCTTCGTTAAGGCACATTAGTGCTTACTAGCGGCTGAGCTCATCATGAAGAGTGAGCTGGGTGCGTCTACGTGACAGAGGGCTCAAATTTGGGGGGTCAGTGAAAATCCACAAATCAGACGGTGGAGCGGGTGGAGTTTGAACCCATGGCGAGGAGTCGTAAAATTCACAGGCCAGTGCATTAACAACTTTAGTGACTCACTTGCCAAAGGGTAAGAACCCCTACCCGTTCCGTGGTTTGTGCCACACACGTCAAGCACTGGCAGGCGGAGTTATACAGCAGAAATAACGTACTGAAACTGCTCAGGCTTCTAGTGGTTCACTTTAGTTTGAAAACTCAGCTTCACATCATACTGATCGTACTGAAGCTGTAGCTCACGTACTGGTTAATACTTTTACTAAAGCCAATATTAATATATCTAATTTGAGCGAACGAGAAACCGGGTTATTTTTTTTTTCCGTCTTGATTCAAGTTGATAAATTAGACACATGTGCAACTCTTGGGTATCTTTATTGAGGAAATGGAGGCCTGGTCACAGACCGGGCCGCGGGGGCGTTGACCCCCGAAACTCTCTCCAGGTAAACTCCAGGTAAACACAGTGGCTTCATCAGTCCATACAAAGGAGAATCTTGAAGAACAGGAGGAGAATGACTGACCACATCGACTCAAGGTTGAGGGACTGATTACCTCATTCTCCTCCTGTTCTTCAAGATTCTCCTTTGTATGGACTGATGAAGCCACTGTGTGGCGAAACGTTTCCTCAATAAAGATACCCAAGAGTTGCACATGTGTCTAATTTATCAACATGTCGGTTCTCTGAACCATTCATCTACAAACTTGATTCAAGTTGCAAGTCTTTCAACTTAATTCTGTGAGAGGAGATCGGATATACGACGTTAAAGTGCAAGATTTATCCCGTGTGAATACACAGATGCTGCCACCACTTCTTTGCTATTTTTTTTACAGGTGACTGAAGTTTGGATACAAATCCGACCCTCTCAATAAACAATGCAAATAATCTGGGCACCCTGATTTACATACGCTTCCGCTCTATGTATTCAAATGAGACTTATCTTCTACCTATGCATCTCCACTGCAAACACAAACTCCCTAACGCAACAGGTTGCATTTCCGCTCAATACTAAAAGCATTTATCACCAGAACTGCGCCAAACTTACCTTTACAGACGAATTATAGTCAATGTTATTGTCATGCCCCAGTGATCTGCGGTAATATTAACAGTTGTATACTCACTACGAGAGAGTTCACCAGAAAATATCCTCATAGATTATTTAGTTGGTATATTTATGTGATTCTAACACCAGAATGAATGTTTAGAAATGTGGCGCAGTGTAGCATACAACTGCTGAGGAAAGACTGTATGCTGAGGCATACAGATGTTAAGATGAAGACGATTGATATATTGATACGAGATGTTGGACGAGAGAAAGAAAGAGAAAAGAGAGAGAGAGAGAGAGAGAGAGAGAGAGAGAGAGAGAGAGAGAGAGAGAGAGAGAATGTGTGAGGTTAATGGGGCGTTAAAGTCTATCAACTATATTAGGGTCATTATGTCTGCTCGTAAGCTTTCCAAAACCAGACAAGAATACTGGAATCCCTAACATAAGGCATTAAAGCATACTCTCAGTGCATGCGAAATGAGAGAGATACAATTCTCAGTGTATCGTTAAAAACGGGGGAGAATATAAAAGAGGATATTAGTAAAATAATAATAATAATAATAATAATAATAATAATAATACTATATAGCTGACAAACTCTACAAAGGAAGTAAAATGAGGTAGTGCCGGCTAGGCACTGTGCACCACATAGCAACAGTGCCATAGTGTGGGTGTTGTCTTAACCCTTTCCTTCTCACAGGGGAGGGAGAGGAGGGACGGAAGGGAGAGTGGACAGAGGGATAGATGGGGCATGTTTGCACAGCCACCAAGCTGCAGCCCCTGATCCCACACGCCCACACACACGTACGTGTAGAGAGACACACACTCTCTCTCTCTCTCTCTCTCTCTCTCTCTGGAAATTATCTGTAATAAATACAAGATACCAGATATATTAAGCAAATTTCCTTAATTTGCTTGTATCAGATAAGTGAACTGTAGATATAAATTCTAATGTAATATTGTTTAACCCTGTTGGTGCCTAGTTCCTGGGCCATTTGTGTATCCATATGCTCTTACACTGCCTTCCATAGAATGGATGTGAGGTGCACAATAATCTAATCATTTCGGTGGCAAAATCTAAAATCTCTCTGTTACACTGTCTCTGTCACTGTCACTGTTACTGTGTCACGGTTACTGTCTCTGTCACGGTTACTGTCTCTTAAAAGTTTAGCTGTCCATGAACTCAACTCGTCTCAGTTTATTGGACTCAGTCTGAGTTATTGTACCCGAAGGGAATTGTGTGTTACGAGGTTTTGTTGTTCAAGAGAATTGTGTGTTACGATTTTGTGTTTTTACCATAGCTACGTCTGTTATTTACTTGCGGTACACAAGGGGTGTTAATACTGTTTAGAAAGACTGTTGTTGCTATTATTTACAACGATTGTTTACTTTTGCAATGCTGTTTACAAACACTGTTTGCATTATAAGAGTTACTGTTAGTGCTGTTTATGAGAGCTGTTGTTAACATTATAAACAATGAGTCTTTTGTTATTGTCCAAGTCTTTTGTTTTTCTTGCATATGTCGATGTTAGCCGTTACTGGGGCTGTTGTTCATGACTGTTGCTGATGCTGTTTCCTGACTGTTAGAAACGCACCTTTGAGGACCATTTAACTATTGCAAAGTTAAATGGTCTTGGCCATGTCAAGGGCCTTGTTGACTGTGGCAAATACAGTGTGAGTGCTTCAAGGACCTTGTGGCTAGTTTGCAAAGACTTTTGTGACTGTTGCTAAGACCTTCTAACTACTGAACTGATAGGTCGTAGCATACCCTATTAAGGTCACTTCTGTACTTTTATTAAGGTCGGTTCTGTGTTCTGTTAAGGTCACTTGAAGACTAGCACCATCCCCTGCAGAACTGAACACAGAACCGACCTTAATAGAGCACAGAACTGACTTTAATAATAGCGCAGTGACCTTAATAGGGTATAACATGGACTTCTATTAACACGTAATCCCCAACAAGGGTATATACACCAGGTGTGTATCCTTAAGTGTACCAATACAGAGATTACAGTGTCCCTGGCTGAGGGATTACAGTGTCCCTGGCTGAGGGATTACAGTGTCCCTGGCTGAGGGATTACAGTGTCTCTGGCTGGATGGATACCTGGCTGGTAGGGTACCTAGTTGGTAGAGTACCTGCTGGTAGGGAACCTGGCTGGCAGAGTGCCTAGGAGGTAACGTACCTGACTGGCAGGGTACCTCGGTGGTGGGATACCTGGTTGGTGGGATACCTGGCTGGTGAGATCTCTCCACTAAAGTTACCACTTTCAACCTACAACGTTAATGACCCTCGTGCAGTCGATAGGCTTTAAACCCCCCACCAACAAGCTAATTTGATCCTCTTACAGACTCTTGGAAATCAACGCATCACGTTATCAGGACAGGTAATACAAGCATAGACGTGATTAACACTAATACGAAAATGACTTAATTGCTCGAACACACGCACACGCACGCACACGCACACGCACGCACACACACACACACACACACACACCACACACACACACACACACACACACACACACAACAGGCCAAGAGTGTATAAATATATGCCTTTGAGAACGAGTAATACACCGCCAATGCTAACAATTCTGACAGCTAGTTTAAGCCCTCTTAGTCACTCGCATCAGGGACTCGCCTAACACTTAAACAACTTCCAGAGATTAAGCGCAACCTTTCTTCAAAATGCATCGTCCGTTTTCAAACGCGTTTACCTGAGCTTACTATGACGGAACCAACAAAGCCGATTTTACACTAGATTACGTTGTTCAATGTAAATTGCAATTTAAATCAGGTTTAATGTCAAAAATAACTTGAAATGACCGAAAAGGTGACATCTGGCAATGGGATGTACACTTGGGACAGTTTAAAATACACGCACTATTCAGTGCATATATATATATATATATATATATATATATATAATGTCGTGCCGAATAGGTAAAACTTGCTATTTTGGCTTAAATATCAACGCTCTTCTTGCCGAATAAGGAAAGCTAAAATTTGTGTATGCAATAATTTCGCAAAAATCATTCCGAACCTAACGAGAAAAATATATTTCATTGTGTTTGTTTATTAAATTATTGTAAACTTATCTAAAATATATTTAGTTGAATTAGACTAAATTAAGTTGCGCTTGTTATAATAAGGTTAGGTAAGTTTACTAAGGTTCTTTTGGTACAAAATTAATTTTTACATTAACATAAATGAAAAAAAAATATCTTTAAACGTATAAGAGAAAATTTTAGGACTTAAGTTTAAAAGAGTTCTTGCTAATTGACCAGTTTTACCTATTCAGCACGACATATTATATATAATATGCCGCTCTCTAGTTCAACACCTGACACCTTAGTTACCTAGTGCACCACTTGACACAATATTCTCCTTCCAGTGCCAACACCTGACGTAACATTCACCTTGCACTGCCATACTAGGCAGCATGCCAGGGTTATGGAGGAAGATCACTGGCACTGTCATCATCACAAACGTGGATGATGAGGAAGGTGCCAGTGTGGTGGCCTCAACCCCACGTACAGGAGAATCCAAGAAGAGCAAGACACAAGCCAAGCCAACCCCAGAACCTAAGGTCGAGCTGTCCTACGAGGAGAAGCAGGAGAAAACAGCTGAACTTAAGTACAAGAAAGGTAAGACATAGGTGTGTGTGTGTGTGTGTGTGTGTGTGTGTGTGTGTGTGTGTGTTACTCACCTAATCGTGGTTGCAGGTGTCGAGACTCAGCTCCTGGCCCCGCCTCTTCACTGAACACTACTAGGTCCTCTCTCTCCCTGTTCCCTGAGCTTTATCATACCTCGTCTTAAAGCTATGTATGGTTCCTGTCTCCACTACATCACTCGCCAGACTGTTTCACTTCGTGTGTGTGTTTGTGTGTGTGTGTGTGTGTGTGTGTGTGTGTGTGTACTACCTACCTACGTATTTATTGATTACTCATAAATATAACAAAAATAGTTTCCCTTACACGCCTCTGGTCCTTCTTAACAGTATTCACTATTTCTAAGACAGTCAAATGGGTGACTGTTTAACAGATTTAAACAGTGATTATCTGACATAAATACTTCACTGTCTCCCCGTTTGCAGTTCGTACGTTACTTTTAATTATACTATTTTCTTAAATTTCATTTATTGGTCTTGTGGAATGTTCTAATTACAAATTTTACACTGAGAACAACCTAACCTAACCAAATTATTATAATTATAATGATGGGGGAGCGCTAAACCCGTAGGATTATGCAGTGTATGTGAGGGGGGGGGATGGAAGGTATTCAGGCTCAATTCAAGGAACCGGAGCACAGATCCAGTTCCCGAGAACAAGAGCCCCTCACCAACGTCAAGGAACCTTCCTTGACGAGTAACCTAACCAAAACAACGTAGGGAAACTTCCTACAACATTTATGCTAGAAAGTCACATGGAACAAGTTGTTCAGTAATTCCAATCAGTATCTCCTTATCTAAAGTCAGTCAGATCATTATTTTATCTCTGACTTTGTTACCTGTGCAGTTTATCTGTAATATTTTATGGTGTTGTAATTTTTGTATCGCACTCTGGTTTGCATCAGCTGTTTGTCGTCGGGTTGTAAATGAGAATCTAGACCAGGGATACTTAGCTATTTTACTGTGGAAATCATCACCACCAGTCTTATTAGGTACTAGTATAACAATAGCTTGGCTTTACTTTCCTTATGGATAGCTAGGAACCTAACAACCTTAAATTGTTTAGAGATGGGGTGACATACCCCCGTTATTTGGTCCCCATATCCCCAAGATGTATGGATATTCCCTGTTAGTATCCCCTGGTCTAGATGCCTTGCTAGATGTATGGATATTTCCTGTTAGTATCCCCTGGTCTAGATGCCTTGCTAGATGTATGGATATTCCCTGTTAGTATCCCCTGGTCTAGATGCCTTGCTAGATGTATGGATATTCCCTGTTAGTATCCCCTGGTCTAGATGCCTTGCTAGATGTATGGATATTCCCTGTTAGTATCCCCTGGTCTAGATGCCTTGCTAGATGTATGGATATTCCCTGTTAGTATCACCTGGTCTAGACGCCTTGCTAGATGTATGGATATTCCCTGTTAGTATCCCCTGGTCTAGATGCCTTGCTAGATGTATGGATATTCCCTGTTAGTATCCCCTGGTCTAGATGCCTTGCTAGATGTATGGATATTCCCTGTTAGTATCCCCTGGTCTAGACGCCTTGCTAGATGTATGGATATTCCCTGTTAGTATCACCTGGTCTAGACGCCTTGCTAGATGTATGGATATTCCCTGTTAGTATCACCTGGTCTAGACGCCTTGCTAGATGTATGGATATTCCCTGTTAGTATCACCTGGTCTAGACGCCTTGCTAGATGTATGGATATTCCCTGTTAGTATCACCTGGTCTAGACGCCTTGCTAGATGTATGGATATTCCCTGTTAGTATCCCCTGGTCTAGATGCCTTGCTAGATGTATGGATATTCCCTGTTAGTATCACCTGGTCTAGACGCCTTGCTAGATGTATGGATATTCCCTGTTAGTATCACCTGGTCTAGATGCCTTGCTAGATGTATGGATATTCCCTGTTAGTATCACCTGGTCTAGATGCCTTGCTAGATGTATGGATATTCCCTGTTAGTTTACTTTGTCATTGTTTCTCTTCATTAATTTGAAAAATTATTGTCGTTCAGGATTGTTAGTCATAAGAATCAATAGTATTACCGATTAGTGTTTTTCTTTCCCTCTCTTCCTTCTTCTCTGTCTTTTATCATTTGTCCCCTTCTATTTATCTCTTTTTTTTTTCTATGGAGGCAATAAAAAAATAGACACTTTTACCGCAATTGGCAGACAGAGAATCGAGCCTTCACCAATCCTTACACTGAACAATTTGTTTATAAACAAAATTCTCATTATGTGAAAGCCTCTGAGGAAAATTGCATCTGTCATCACATCAATTTGGTTTCAGTAATTGCAGTAATGTCAGAAATTTAAAAAAAAAAATAATTTAAAATTTATTTTTGCAACAAATTTCTCCCTGATATGAACACGTAATTTTATGCTGTGAGTTGTTGTACAGAGTTGTTCTGATGAGTTGAGTGGAGAGACTGAGGGGAGGAGAGATTGATAACGTTAAAGACAGGATGGGGAGGAGTATAGAAATGTAGGAGGATGATGAGAAGAAGAAAGACGTAGCAAAGGTAGTAAAAAACGAAGAAGGAAGAGGAAAAGAAAAATTAAGAAGAAATTCCTCAGCATCAAAGGGCCTTCAAGAGCAGGCTCCACAAAGCCCCGGCTGCAGAAGACAACATCAACGTTGTGCCCAAGAGACACAAAGCTTACTCTTGTGGATGTCTCTAGGATCCTCATAGCGGCTGTCATGTCCACCTTCCCTGCTCTCCCCATCATTCCCTCTTTTCAAGATCTTTTTTTCATGAACTGGAGATAACTATCCCTTCTTCGGATCGAATTCAAGGGCTTTCCATCCTTCAGGATACCTTCGTTACTATTAAGGTAAATCCTGTTCCCTTTCTTGAATTCTTAAAGCCATAAAACAGGCTTGACAGTAACGGCAATCAGTCGTGAGAGAGTTAGCCGAAGCAGCTATCAACTGTTAGACAGCAGAGTCACCCATCAACCAAGAGACAAACATCATCCGTCAACCAAGACACAATCATCCATCAACGAAGACGCAATCATCATCCATCAACGAAGACACAATCATCATCCATCAACCTCACAACTTTCCCAGCGTCAAATTTCAACTTCTTTCCCTTAAATACTTAAAAGAAAAACAAGACCAAATTAAACTGTTTTTACAAAACGGTAACATAACAGCCATCTAATGTCACCGTTTTTCTAAATTTATAAGCAGAAGCAAAGGCTATTCTCGCCGTTTTTCGAAAGAACTCATCTCATAAACAAAATCCAATAATCTCCTTATTGCATTTCCTAGAAAAGGATTTGAACTTGTATCCGAGACTAAAGGGAATACAAGTCTAGAATGATGTCAGATACTAGGCGAGTGTACTGAAAACAAAAGCTTGGTTTCCTAAATGGAGGAAACACATTGGAATAGGATCTTACAGTGGCTGAGCGGAGGCAACGTAAACAAACCTGTTAGATACGCTGGCTGGACAAGATATAAGTAAACAATTTGGGGGAAATAATGTCGTAAAGCCTACTCTTTGATCAGAGGATCTCAAGCAACACAGAGATATCTCAGCAGCGCTGTGTTCCAGCGTATTGTACTGTGTATTGTCTTCGTATGAGCTCAAGCAACTGATCACTGTACTCACGCTCAGAAGTGTATTCATTTCAGTGTATATAAGCTGAGACATGTATCTCGCAATGTGTATAAACAGTCTACTTAAATCTATAATTATAGGGATTAAAATATTCTTGAATGGTGGCGTACAGGTAAAAATACATTGTTAATAGTCCATGGTTCACTCACAAAGAATACTGCACACCACGTTGGATAAGGAAAAAAATGAAAAAAAAAAAAAAAATACGTTCAATATTTGGATAACAGAATTAATATTCTGGCGAGGTTATCTATACACACTATCTTGTACGATACGTTAGATATCCGTTCACATCCACTACAATGCTCGATAATAACCCACATGGAAACTGGAACTCAGAAGATTAATCTTCCGAGTTTGTCAAAATGTAGGTTATTATGGAACATTGACCAGTGTTCATTACACTTTAGTTATCCATCCAATGCAATACTTACGTTCTTCCAAATCCATCTCCAAGGATTTGCCAGTTTGGCCTATGTGCTTTTAATCACATTGTTTACAGGGTAGCAAATAAATTCTTCCCGTTGCTTGAAGGAAGAGTTATTTCTCTTCATGACTGTATTTACATTTTTTAGACGAATCTTTACACTCAATTGTTTCAAATATATCTCTCGGCATTAATACTGCGTGACCTCCACCCTGTATAAAAAAATATTACATACGCAAGTCAAATTTCATCCCTGTACAACGTATGACTAAGACTCAGCAATAAAGCTAATGCTATTTTATTATTATTTTTCTTACTAGAGTTATTAATTCTAGTATAAGAGAGGTCACTGATAAAGGGGGAGGAAATATGAGAATGTCAGAACAAATGCAAGCAATAGTTTCAGAGAATTGGCTGAACTTCTATGCAATTGTGAAGTCGAGTTGAGTTATTCGCTGAAACTGAAGGTCAGGGAAATGACTGGAGGTCAGGGAAATGACTGGAGGTCAGGGAAATGACTGGAGGTCAGGGAAATGACTGGAGGTCAGGGAAATGACTGGAGGTCAGGGAAATGACTGGAGGTCAGGGAAATGACTGGAGGTCAGGGAAGTGACTGGAGGTCAGGGAAGTGACTGGGGGGTCAGGAAAATGACAGGGGATGGAGAGAATGGGTGGTTGTGCTCAGTTTGGTTGATAATTCAATTACACACATACAGGGAGAATAATCTTTAAAATAAGGATTTACCTCCACACGAGGCACACTTCTCAGTGTATATACACTAAATATATATACACTATATACACTAAATGCTGACACTTCTCAGTGTATATACACTAAATACTGACACTTCTCAGTGTATATACACTAAACACTGACACTTCTCAGTGTATATACGCTATACACTGACTTCTCAGTGT